AGGAGGGATAGAATTTCAACAGGTAGAAATGGTAGCGGAGAGATGAGAGCCACCATAGGTAGTGATCAGGCATTTTTTTTTTTTTTTTTTTGAGACGGAGTTTCACTCTTGTTACCCAGGCTGGAGTGCAATGGCACGGTCTTGGCTCACCGTAACCTCCGCCTCCTGGGTTCAGGCAATTCTCCTGCCTCATCCTCCTGAGTAGCTGGGACTACAGGCACGCGCCACCATGCCCAGCTAATTTTTTTTTGTATTTTTAGTAGAGACAAGGTTTCACCATGTTGACCAGGATGGTCTCAATCTCTTTACCTCGTGATCCACCCGCCTCGGCCTCCCAAAGTGTTGGGATTACAGGCGTGAGCCACCGCGCCCGGCTCTGGCTTATACTTCTTCGCTTTTATTTGAGATAGGGTCTATCTCTGTCACCCAGGCTGGAATGCAGTGGCTTGATTGGGCTCACTGCAGCCTCAGCCTCCTAAGCCGCTGGGACTATAGGTTTGCGCCACCACACCTAACTTTTTAATTTTTATTTTTAGTAGAGACGAGGTCTGACTACATGGCCCAGGTTGGTCTCAAACTCCTGAGCTCAAGCAATCCTCTTGCCTCAGCCTTCTGAAGTACTGCGATTACAGACGGGAGCCATTCCACACGGTCCTTATTTTTTGCTACTTACTTTCCCTCCCTAAATCATGAACTTGAAAGTAGGGACTGTGTCAGCACCAGGTTCCCTACCTAGTTATTGTAAGAATTCAACCACAATAAAAAAGTTACTGAATTCATTAAAAAGAAAATAGATCTTCCATATCCACCCACTCCTCTACTAACACTTTCCCCAAAAGTTCCCGATGGTTCCCACACCAAGTTACCCCTGTTCTTCAATCTCCTGCAAAGACATTCCCGAGTCCCATTCCCCACCACTCACCCTCCATCATCTGCCCTCAAAAATTCCCACCCACAGGCCGGGTGCGGTGACTGGCGCCCATAAGCCAGCACTTTGAGTGGCGGAGACAGAATTATTGCTTGAGTCCAGGAGTTCGAGACCAGCCTGGGCAACGTAGCGAGACCCCGGCTCTACAAAATATACAAAAAAATTAGTCGGGTATGGTGGCGTGGCCCTGTGGTCCCAGCCACTCGGGAGGCTGAGGCAGGAGGATCAATTGGGCACAGGAGGTGGAGGCTGCAGTGAGCCATGATCGTACCACTGCGCTCCAGCCTGGGCCACCATACCCTGTGTCAAACAACGACAAAAAAAATTCCCACCCGCAGAAGTCCCATGAATGTACCCATTTAGTCATTGACCCATCCGAAGTCCCGCGCGTGCCCATTTCTCAGACCTATTCCCTAAGCCCCTAAACCCAACCTTCTCGCCCCAAGATGAGCTGCTGAAAACCCTTCACGCCACTGCTCGGCCGCATAATGCCCGTCCAACCCGTTCCGTTTAAACCCGATACATCCCTTAGTCCTCGGGACCCCCCTCCAGCCCTCCTCAAGCGCCCCTCGTCAGTCTGGCCCCCCCGCCCCGTCCCCTGCGCCCGCCCCCCCTCACGGCCGCCACCCTGCGTGGCCCCCGGCCAAGCCCGCGGGCAGCACCTGGCCTGCGCCTCGTCCAGGCTCTGGTCGGTGATGGCCATGATCTGCTGCAGGACGTCGCTCGTGTCTGGGCGCAGCGGGCGGCGCGGGGCGGGGGGCGATGGCGCGGGGCGCGGCAGGGTGGCCATGAGCGACGGGGCCAGGCGGGCGCTGAAGAAGAGCTGTCGGGGACGTAGCGCTGGCTGGAGTGCCGCAGCCAACTGCTGCCATCCGAGCGCCGCGCGCGCTCACCCACTCTCGCGCCTAGGCCACGCCCACCGCCGCTGCCGCCAGCCAATCAGTGTTTCTAACCGCCTAAAGACACGCCCCTCCATCGCCGTCCACCAACGGGGGCCATGTACCCGCCCCGGGACACGCCCCGAACTTCTCCTCTTCACGGGCTGGGACTAGGGTAGGGGTTGCCGAGGCAACTGCACTTCTCACCCGCGCCCTCCTCCAGCCAGAGGGAGAGGAGCGCTGGCTCAGCTCCCGGCAGAGGCCCCCATCCCTTACATCTCCTGCGGTGTACGCCTCATTCAGCACCACTCGCATCTCCTCAGAGCCCCCTGCTCCTCCTCAAAGCCCTCGGTCCTGAGAGAGCCTCACTCCTCAGAGCACCCCAACTCTTCCGCCAAGCCACCTCCTCCTCCACAGAAACCCACACCTCTTACAGCTTCATCGGGAGCCCCCATTCATTTCCAGAAGCCCCGAGCCCCAGACCCCTACTCAGTCCCCCTAATGCTCCCCACAGCCTCAGCCCCATCAGGTGGGCCACTGGGGCCCCTGTCACTTCCTCCAGAACTTTCCACGCCCCCTTCACCTGGCCAAGGGGCGCAGGTGTGCGTGGTTGATGGCAACGAGGAGGTCAGAATGGGATAGTTTTCTCCACTGCAGAAATCAATTCCAGTCACCTTTCAAGGTCTAGTTGAAGAGTGACTTCACTTGTTTATTTATTGTCACAGTTCTGGGCTTAGAAAATGCTAGCACATGGTTACCGAATGAAGGAAGGATGTTTACTGAGAGCCTCCCTTGCGGTGCACCCCAAATCAGAGCGAATGCTCCATCTTTGTTTCTAGCCCTTAGGACACAGCATCAGAGGCTCCTAGTGCACAAGAAAAGGAAGTGGGTGGTGGCTGATGCCTGTAATCCTAGCACTTTGGGAGGCTGAGGCGGGTGGATCACTTGAGCACAGGAGTTTGAGACCAGCTTGGGCAACATAGTAAGACCCCATGGTGGCACATGCCTGTGGTCCTAGCTACTTGGGGACTTGAGAGGCTGAAGTGGGAGGATCACTTGCGCCCAGGAGTTTGAGGCTGCAGTGAGCCATGATTGCGCCACTGCATTCCAGCCTGGGTGACAGAGGGAGACCAGATCTCAAAAAAA